GTTTTGAACAAAACCAATCCAGAGAGTGCCTTTTTATTGTGCATGGCCATGTAATGGAAAGACTTGAAATTATTCATTAAGATTTGAATGAGCTATTTCTCAATTATCAGTAATTCAAATAATTATTATCAGCTCTTTTGTTGCAGAAGTAGAGGCTTTACACTATATTTAAAGTTTGGATTATTAGGTCTTCATTTCTGTCAGTGTTTAAGCATTTGTAAAAAAGATAAGAGTGATCCATGATTTTGGTATGGCGTAAACTTGTGTGAAAAGAAAATGTAAGCATTTTAGAAACATGTTAATTGACTGAATATTGTGTGAAACAACATGAATTGTGTTAATGGTATGATCACAACAGATGGATGTTTTGCTAACTGTGTTTACAGTTTTGAAAAAGTAATTATAGATTGGACAAAGCGATGTTAGCAATTGAAAAAAAACTAAGCTAGTGAGAATTTGGTTCAGAGAATTGGGATTAGTGTTTTAGCAATTCAGAAAAACTGTAATGCACATACAGTAGGCCTATACAATATATTCACCTTACTCAGTTGCAATTCCTATACTTTTTTACAGAATTGCAAAACTTTTCTGTAATATTCTGGATACTGTGCTCTCCATTTTTCTATGTAGTGTCTAATGAATGCTCTGTAGTGTTTATTTTATTGACTCATGTGTGTGTGATCTGAGAGCACCGTTGGATTTTGAGTGCAAGTGAAATGGTTTTGTAGTGATTGTAGTGATTTGATTTTGATGGAAGAGTCAGAGGTTTTGTGAATTTGGTTTGAGTATTTGGATTTGTGTTTAAGGTTTTGAGAAAATGAGTGATGGTTTCAAGAAATGTGTTTTAGCAATTCAGAAAAATGGTAAATTACTAAGAGTACAATGGTTAATGATATCCACTTAACTTTATATTTTAAATGCATTTTAACATTCAATATGCCTTAATTGCTTATTAGGTTATATTTTTGTTTACACATGGTTAAAATATGTTTACTTTAGTGGTAACCATGGAAATCGTCTCAGGTTACGTATGTAACCATGGTTCCCTGATAAGGGAACGAGACACTGCATCCTCTAGAGGTCGCTATGGGGAACGCCCTCAGCGTGACCGGTGTCTGAAGCATATATCTAAAAACGACAATATAGCCCTTTGCCTTTTGACCCCTACCTCTCCTTCTCCCTTGTCAGAAAGTCAGAAAGAGCTTTATTACCAAGCATGTTTACAGACACAATGAATTTGACTTGACGACGGGAGCTTCTAGTGCAGAAGAAAGTATGGACATAGTGCATACATGACAGTGCAGACATACACAGGAGTTATAACAGTAGTATAAGAAAAAAGCAGACCAGAAGGCAACAGTATGAAGAGAGAGTGGGCTGGGTGTGTGGGGTTCAAAGTGATTTTCTTAGCTCTTTTCCTTACTCTGGAGGTGTACAGATCTTGGAGGTTGTGCCAATAATCATCTTAGCTGTCTGTTGTAGTCTCTTGATGTCTGATTTGGTAGTTGAACTAAACCAGACAGTCCTGGTCCAACTACTCCTCTCACTCGTCCAGATATTTTCTTTCTTTTTCTGCTTCTCTGTGTTGTTCTGTACAAATGTAATGGTTTTGAACAAAACCAATCCAGAGAGTGCCTTTTTATTGTGCATGGCCATGTAATGGAAAGACTTGAAATTATTCATTAAGATTTGAATGAGCTATTTCTCAATTATCAGTAATTCAAATAATTATTATCAGCTCTTTTGTTGCAGAAGTAGAGGCTTTACACTATATTTAAAGTTTGGATTATTAGGTCTTCATTTCTGTCAGTGTTTAAGCATTTGTAAAAAAGATAAGAGTGATCCATGATTTTGGTATGGCGTAAACTTGTGTGAAAAGAAAATGTAAGCATTTTAGAAACATGTTAATTGACTGAATATTGTGTGAAACAACATGAATTGTGTTAATGGTATGATCACAACAGATGGATGTTTTGCTAACTGTGTTTACAGTTTTGAAAAAGTAATTATAGATTGGACAAAGCGATGTTAGCAATTGAAAAAAAACTAAGCTAGTGAGAATTTGGTTCAGAGAATTGGGATTAGTGTTTTAGCAATTCAGAAAAACTGTAATGCACATACAGTAGGCCTATACAATATATTCACCTTACTCAGTTGCAATTCCTATACTTTTTTACAGAATTGCAAAACTTTTCTGTAATATTCTGGATACTGTGCTCTCCATTTTTCTATGTAGTGTCTAATGAATGCTCTGTAGTGTTTATTTTATTGACTCATGTGTGTGTGATCTGAGAGCACCGTTGGATTTTGAGTGCAAGTGAAATGGTTTTGTAGTGATTGTAGTGATTTGATTTTGATGGAAGAGTCAGAGGTTTTGTGAATTTGGTTTGAGTATTTGGATTTGTGTTTAAGGTTTTGAGAAAATGAGTGATGGTTTCAAGAAATGTGTTTTAGCAATTCAGAAAAATGGTAAATTACTAAGAGTACAATGGTTAATGATATCCACTTAACTTTATATTTTAAATGCATTTTAACATTCAATATGCCTTAATTGCTTATTAGGTTATATTTTTGTTTACACATGGTTAAAATATGTTTACTTTAGTGGTAACCATGGAAATCGTCTCAGGTTACGTATGTAACCATGGTTCCCTGATAAGGGAACGAGACACTGCATCCTCTAGAGGTCGCTATGGGGAACGCCCTCAGCGTGACCGGTGTCTGAAGCATATATCTAAAAACGACAATAACATTGGCCAGCGACAGCCTATTACGTCATTACCCTGCATGATCACAGTATAAAAGGGCGCCTGGATAACACGTCATCCGCTTCTTCGTCTGAAGCTTGCGTCTGCAGCATGGCAAGAAAACTAGAGGACGCAGTGTCTCGTTCCCTTCTCAGGGAATCATGGTTACATAGGTAACCTGAGACGTTCCCTTTCAAGGGAACTTCGAACTGCATCCTCTAGAGGAGGCTATGGGAAATGGTATACCCACGCCACCATGCTGAGGGGAGTGCATGCCAAACCACAGGCGAGCACTAATTACTAACTCTACCAAAGCTTTAAGGGAGTTGCCCCTTGGACGTTTAGACGGCTATCAGTGACATTATCCCCCACGGCCAAAAGCCTAAGCTACATACCCCATAAACTTACCTGTTAGGGCCAGGACGCATGGGCCCAGGGTAGAGCTCAAAAGCTTGGAATCAAGAAGAGATTCCTTTAAGGGGATACGACCAAGCGCCTAGAATCATAACTAGGTCTTGGCCTGTCATCCAGGGGGCTACTGCTTGCTCTGCATGAGCTTGCTGAAGGAACTGTCTCGACAGACCCCTAGTAGCAACAAACTGCTAAAGTAGGTATCACTGAGGAAACATAGGTAGAGTGGTGCCCAAGGTGGAACCAGGGCCTGACCGACTCAAAGAAAGGGCACGAAGCCACAGCGTGTAATCCCTACCACACAGGATTTTTAGAAAGAATGCAAAATGCTTGATGTGCGAACTTACCACAGTGTGGATTTTAGGAAGTCCACAGAGACTTCGCGTGCACACTTACCATAACATGGATTTTAAAGATACCGTTGCTAAGGGGCCCTAGAGACTGTTTACCAGACAGACCTAGAGACCTTATGTGACCGTGGCACTCTGAGGGAGCAGTCCATAGCATACACAGAGCGCACATACTGTAGATGGAAATGGCGCATCTCATAGAACAATACATCTGAGAAATCACCAACTCATTATCATAGTCATAATGCTGGTCTGGCTAGCAGTAAGTTACCTAGCTGAGGGAGCATAACACCCAGCTCTCAGCCGAAAGGGGGAGGCAGGTGCTCAATCTACAGCATGTTCATGGAAATCCTGAAGGGTAAGCGTACTGCAAGCTTAGCCAAAAACTCAGCATATCAAGGAGGCAGAGGAAGGGCCTAATTCGCTTGAGGAAGCAACATGCTCATAATAACCCTCTACAGTTAGGGGAGCAATGCTAACTAAATTAAAGGCATTGCATTGAAACCCCAATCCAGTCTCGTGCTCTCTACCCCATAGAGAGCTTCATAGCTCAGGGAACCCAGTGTACTCCGACCCACTCCACAGAGGGGCGACTCACTGGCTCACAATAAGGACCATACAGGATTTTAGAAAGTGTGCAGAATGCTTAGCGTGCACACTTATCACAATGAAGATTTAAGAACTTACCATAGTTTTACCATAGCATGGATTTAGAAAGATTCCGAACCATCTGCTCACAGATGCCCAGAAGTCCTCAGACACTCAATGGGGAGCGGCAGGCTCAAAGACAACCCTCTGAGGTGAGGGGAGCACTGCCTGGCTTGACCCGAATAGAGGCAGCTTATCAGGGAAGCAGCAAGTGGCCCAACTACCTGATGTCACTGCCACAGAACTCAAGAGTGGAGGGTTCAACCCCTAGCGGAGAGAGAGGAACCCAGCTTGACTGAAGCGACCAATAGCCCATTTTCGTTAGGACAAATAGGGTCCACTGGTGCAGCTGGACACTGTCTTATCTCGATAGAGAGCATGGGTCCCGTATGACCAGACCCGATAGAATCTGAAGAAATAGCGGGACCCAATAACCATTCATGCATATAGAGCTTACTGCTCTTCAGAGCAGAAGCACAAAGGAGGGGTTCCCACAGAAACACAAATCCCTCTTACCTCAGGGAATGCAGTGTAGCCCACTCTGCAGAGAGGTGATTACTGGTTCGACCATAAGGGCAGTGTGACAGTGAGGACCCACGGGCCCGACCGTCTATGGAGCATTGATAACAGAACAGGTCTGAGTAGCGCTGCAGAGAAAGGCTAGCATCAAATACACAAGAACTAGCAGTAGAGTAGATAAAAATGGATCATATTCACCAACCATGGTTCCCACGCATGAATCAGGCTCATGATATAGGCTGGAGGCGAAGTCCGAAGCCTGGACCCTCGTGGGTTTTTCAATGAAGGATTTAGAGGCAGCCGAGCACGTCTTGGCCTCCTTAAAGCTCACGACCACCGTCTCGACGGAAGGGCCGAAAAGCTCAGAAGGGGAAACCGGCGCATCAAGAAGAAAGCCCTTCTCTTTTGACCCGATATCCACCAGACTCACCCACAGATATCTCTCCGTAACCACCATGGCTGCCATTTTTTGGATCTGCCAATAGCAGTGGCGGCCTGCTTAGTGGCACGGAAAGCAAGATCCATGGTGTAACGCAACTCAGCCACCTCATCAGGGGATAGACCCTGCCTTTATCCAGGTCTTTCAGCAGATCAGCCTGAAAAGCCTGAAGCACCACCATGGTGTGCAACAAGACTGCAGCCTGACCTGCTGCCGCGAGCCCTAAGAGAAGATGTCTCCCATTTACTCCCGAAATCTACAAATTCGGGTAAATGGTGAAGTACTCAAATCCCCTCAGTAGTCCCCCAAATGCATCACGATGAGCACAAGCCACCTCCTCATGAGACCAGCGTGCTCAATTCATGCTTATCCTTCACAAGAAATAAGCAATGAATGCAGATCGCATCCAACTCCCTCGAGAGCTGAATGCACTTGCTCTTCACCACACACACACACAGCACGCGAGCCGTGTGAAACTGCAGGTATCAGAGCAAAACCTCTGGCGAGAAACATGCACTCCTAATTGTGTTTAGCTTTCATAAATAAAACGGTCAGTGAAGACGAAGAAGAGGATGACGTGTTATCCCGGCGCTCTTTTATACTGTGATCGTGCAGGGTAATGACATCATAGGCTGTCGCCGGCCAATGTTATTGTCGTTTTTAGATATATGCTTCAGACACCGGTCACGCTGAGGGCGTTCCCTATAGCGACCTCTAGAGGACGCAGTTCGAAGTTCCCTCGAAAGAAAACTACAAATACTATAGTTGAACTATGGTCACTTTATTAAAAGGGACTGCAAGTGACAGGCTGTTGCACGCCAAAAATGCA